GAGCCGATAACACTGCAGCCTCTAGGGCTTATTGTGCCTTGCTCCTCGTGTTTACAGTACCCAATCCATCAGCCTCGTGTTCTGAACCGGTTGGAACAGTTTTCCTGCCGGTCTCGCACTCACATAAGACATGCAGGGCTGATTCTATTCCTTTTCAGCATTGTCTGCAGCTAAGGTCTCCCATATAGTCCTATTTTGCCCAGGTATTCTTTCAGGCTATTGTGTCCTGTTAGAACCCTGTACCTGCACGGAGTTGGTTTCTACTCATTGAGAGCTGTTCCGCAGTCCTTGCTTGGACATGGTCCTGAGATGAATTCTTTCCCATGCCTACTCCAGTCACTAAGAAGTGTCAATGTTCCTTGTGCTAGTTTCTTATCCATTCTTTAGGTCCGAGAATGGCACTTCCAACATGTTTCCTTATTTGGTTATATCCAAGGTCCTCATACCTTTTGGCTGTAACTGTAGGCTGGAGTAGCGCATTCTCGTCTCTCCCATTATTACAAATTGTATCGGTGGGAGGTCCGGCATGGTTTCTAGTGCTGCAGTTGGAGCGCTCTTCATTGCAGCTGTTAACTACAGGCAAGCAAGAGATGCATAAGTTATCATGGGACTTACCACCATTAAAGTCGACTCTGCTCTGCTCTCCTTTTAGTGTGTATGATCTGCGGGTTCCAGGTCAGGTTGGAGTCTAGTATTACCCCCAGAAACTTGACTTCCCCCGACAGGTGCATCTGTTCTCCAAGAAGGGATATAGGTCCTAGTCCCTTTAATTTCTTCCTTCTGGTAAAAGCAACAATGGATGTCTTAGACCCTCGCCCTTTGCATTTTTTTTCTGACTGTGGTGTTTTGAGTTTGACTTGCGATAGGATAATGAAGTCATTTGCATATCCTAGCGTTTTGTGTCCGTCTTGGTATAATTCCCTTGCTAACTCATTCACTAACAGGTTCTACAGTAATGGGGACAGTACACCCCCTTGCGGACATCTTTGGGTTACTTGATCCACTAAGGTCTCATAGCATGCAGTCTATCCAAATGCATGTTGTTTCATCGAAGCCAATTCTCCTCGTTGCTCTAGCGATTGAGTCCAGGGACATGTTGTCACAAGCGCCCTGTATTTCTAGGGAAGTGCAGAGTATCACTTCCTTGGTTTCTGGCGTATATTCTGTTGTCTGTATCAGCTTATATAGCGCCATTTCTGTCCATTTGGTGTGCTAGTATAGGCATACTCATCCGAATGCAGAGCATTATCTCATAGGTATATGTCTAGCAGTTTTTCTAAAGCCTTCAACGGGAAAGAAATCAGACTTTTCGAACTAGGAATATGAAAGAAGCCGCGTCGACACCTCATTACCAAATCCGCCCTTAACGTCGCCGACGTATCCTTCTGCCGGGTGAATAAGAACTCTCGCCACCCTCTAAAAACGCGTTAGAAGTGAAAAAAAAGTAAAAAGAAATTCGGTGTCGGCGTGGCACGTGTCTAGTAGATACCAACCACCACCAGATGCTCGTCGGTAACCACCTGCCACGCTGTCGCTCTTGATGTGGGAGACCCGCCAAGCGTCCTTTTACCCCGTGTGCTGGGCAACGAACTAGGAGAACAGTTAGCTCATCCATGAAGGGTTGCCAATTCTATTTTTGGGAATGTTTTCAAGATTTATTGAAACAGTTTTCCGTACCAACACTGATTAACATATTCATCTAGAATATACTCAATCTAAATGAAAGCGGCTCTGCGCGGAAATAATCATGCCTGCCTTGCTCCGTGCTCCGTCAGTCACTTATGTCTACAGCTACAGGATGCGACAGAACGAACTAAGCAGCTTCAAGAGTTGGAAAAAAGACATCTAGGCGTCAAGAGGGTTGACTCTGCGCTTCCTACGCAACACCGTCGTCAGTTCATAAAGGATTTAATTCAGCGCTATTTGAATCCTCTAGAGGAAAATTTGAGTTACGGACATGTACAACAGAGAAATTAAAAGTATTAAGTCAGTCAAACAGGCCCAACCTGCCCTAATAGTTACGGATCATGTGGCAACATAGTTCTTTTCCACATATGCGCGACATCGCTG